GGATTGGCCTCTGGGCTGCCCTTGCCCGTGGGGGGCTCATCCACCCAGCACCCCTGCACACAGCACTGGTTTCTCCTTGCCCTGCTGCAGGATTTGGTTTCTCTGTGTTGCAGCAACTGCCTGCACGTGGTGGAGCCGATGCCGGTGCCCGGGAACGACGTGGAGGCCTATTGCCTGCTCTGTGAGTGCAAGTACGAGGAGCGCAGCACCACCACCATCAAGGTAACCACGGGGGTGGCTCCTCCTCCTTGTCACCCCACCCCAGGCCCAGCTGGACTGGTGGTGGGCTCCTGGAGGAGAGCCCAGAATGGGGAAGGAAACCTGTCGCAGCTCGTGCAGGGTGCTGGCGCCAGGGGTGTCTGTGTCAGGAGGGCTGTGACAGGGAGCGGCAGGGTGCACGGCTCCCTGGGCTTGCTGAGGGTGTGTGACAGTGCCAGGCACCTCTGAGCAGGGACCACCTTGCTGGTCTCCTCCCACATGCAGCACGTGTGCTGAGCTGGCCCCGTGCAGAGGAGGTTCCTGTGATTGGTGCAGGGATGGCACTTGGATCTCCTTGGCCTTCCTGCAGGAGGCTTTCTAGTGGGCAAAAGTAGAATGATCATAGAATCATAGAATTTATTAGGTTGGGAGGGACCTCTCTAAGATCATCAAGTCCAACCATCAAGTCCAATACCACCATGACCACTACACCATGTCCCCAAGTGACACATCTACACGTGTTCTGAACCCCTCCAGGGATGGTGACTCCAGCACCTCCCTGGGCAGCCCCTTCCAGTGACCAACCACTCTGCCACGGAAGAAATTCTTCCTAATATCCAATCAAAACCTCCCCTGGTGCAACTTAACCCCATTTCCTCTCCCTGTATTGCTGGTTATCTGGGAGAAGAGACCAACACCCACCTCACTCCAACCTCTTTTCAGGGAGCTGTAGAGAGCAATAAGGTTTCCCCTCACCTCCTCTCCTCCTGACTAAACACCCCCAGCTCCCTCAGCTGCTCCTCACAAGCCATGTTCCCCAGACCCCTCCCCAGCTTTGTTGCCCTTCTCTGGACCTGCTCCAGCCCCTCTTATCCTGTGTCACCAGAACTGACCCCAGGACTCAAGCTGTGGCCTCCCCAGTGCTGAGCCCAGGGGCACCATCACCTCCCTGCTCCTGCTGGACATGTTATTTTTGATCCAGGCCAGGATGCCCTTGGCCTTCTTGGCCACCTGGGCACACTCATGTTCAGCTGGCTGCCCACCAGCACCCCCAGGGCCTTTTCTGCCAGATAGAAGAGATCAAACATCAGAGGCAGCTGGGAAGGGACCTTGGTGGCCTCTGCAGTGCTGCTTCCCACACTGCTGATCCTTTTCCACTGTGCTGTCTTTAACTGCAGGTGATCATCATCGTTTACTTGTCTGTGGTGGGGGCACTGCTGCTTTACATGGCTTTCCTTGTGCTGGTGGACCCTCTGATCAGGAAGCCAGATGCTTACACCCAGCCCCTGCACAACGAGGAGGAGAATGAGGTGAGGCTGTGCTGCTGGTGTGTGCAGCTCATGGGGGAGGCAGGGAGAGGAGAGAATGGCTGAGAGCATGAGCCAGCAGTGTGCCCGAGGGGCCAAGGCAGCCAGTGGTCTCCTGGGGTGCATTAAGAAGAGTGTGACCAGCAGATCCAGGGAGGTTCCTCCCCCTCTGCTCTGCCCCAGGGAGGCCACCTCTGGAGTACTGGGTCCAGTTCTGGGCTCCCCAGTTCAAGAAAGACAAGGAGCTGCTGGAGAGAGTCCAGCAGAGGCTACAAAAATGCTGAGGGTCCTGGAGCATCTCTGTGCCAGGACAGGCTGAGAGCCCTGGGGCTGTTCAGCTGGAGAGGAGAAGCCTCAGAGGGGATCTGATCAATGCTGAGCAAGAGCTAAAGGGCCCCGGGGGGCAAGAGGCTGGGGCCAGACTCTGGTCCGTGGTGCCCAGGGACAGGCCAAGGGGCAACGGGCACCAACCGGCACCCAGGAGGAGCCACCTGAGCAGGAGGAGAAACTTCTTTGGGGTGAGGGTGCAGAGCCTGGAGCAGCTGCCCAGAGAGGCTGGGGAGTCTCCTGCTCTGGAGAGATCCCAAACCTGCCTGGCTGTGACCCTGGGCACCCTGCTGGGGGTGAGCTGCTGGAGCAGGGGGGTGGGGGAGATGATCCCCAGAGGTCCCTTCCAGCCCCACCATGCTGGATTCTGTGAAAAGAGTGACCCCACCAGTCCAGTGTGGGACCAGCACTGTTGCTTTTTGGGCAGTTACCACAGGTAGAAGTTTGGACTCAAATCTGTGCAGACGATGCTGAAGCACAAGGAAATACGCCACATCCAGGGTGTGTTTTATGAGCTCAAGATGAGACCTGCCCTCTGGGGCAGGGGGTGGCTCTTCACCAAGCAGCCTGAGTTTGATATGTCTGTCTGGATGGAACCACAAGTCCAAGGGTTCCTGTTTGTGCAGTTACCTGGGGGTGAGCTTCAGGGAAGGATGGGTTCAATTGTTTGCTGAAACATGAGGTTGGCCTCTCCTAGGTGCTTAAAAGAGCAGCCTCTGAGGTGCTGCTTGACCCTGCTCAGGAGCTGAGCCCTGTTGTATCCAGGCTCTGGTTCTTTGTGCTTCTCCCCAGAGCAGAATTTCACTCAGGTCCCATCTTTTTGGTGACATGTGATATTTTGGGCAAGAAGTTTAGGACCCAGCAGCAGAGAGAGAGTCTGTCTGTCTGTCTGTCTGACACAAGGTTTGGGGGAGGACAAATTTCTCACTGCATGAGTTTCATGCCATTTCAGCATCCAGTGTCCAACAACCTCCCTTGGACCTGATTCCAACAATTTCAGAACAAGAGTGCCCTGTCCTGGACACCTTTTCTTCTGCCCCTGAGGCTTCCCTTCTCCTGTGCAGGAGATGGGCTGGGGATGGTGTCTCAGAGGAGGTGCTGAGGGCAGAGCTGATGGCCAGGAGGGCTGCAGTGGCTGCAGGCACAGCAATTAACTCTCATGCTTAATTGCATCTGAGGGCTGTGCAGGACGTGCTGCCTGTTGGTGGCTCTGGGGCAGCTTCCCCAGTTGAGACACCCAGTTTAGCAGGCACAGTGCTGGGCAGAGCTCTCTTCTGGAGCAGAGCCCCTTCCCTTGGTAGAGCCCCAGGGCTGTGCCATGAGACCTTCCCTGCCTGGTGACTCTGGAGGCTTGTGATGAGCTCAGTCATGCTTGGAGAAGGAGAGCTGCAGTGTCTGAAGAGAATCTCCTTTCCTAGTCTCTGAGGAAACCACTGGATCAGAATGTCCTGTTTATACTTCTGAGTATAAACTATTTGGCCCAAATCTTTCATCTGCTGATGTAAGCGAGGAGCAACTGCAGTCTGGCCATTACCTCCCTCTGCTGACAAAGGTCCTGCAGGAGGAGGTGGATTGTGTTGTTAGAAGTCCACTTCTGCTGCACAGCAAGAATCCAGCTTTAGATCCAGGTGCACACTGCAGACACCTGGTATTAGGTGAGGTTTATCTTACTCCAGCGTGCTGGGCTGTAAACTCGTTGGGCTGGGCCTTGGGGCTGCCTCAGTGTGCCACGATGGGTCCCATGCTGACAGGACTGGGGTGAAGTGTTGGCTGGAGTGCTCTGAACAGCAGAAGTCCTGCAGCACTGCCTCAGAAACTGAGCAGGGGCTGTGTCAGCTGGGGTGCTGAGGAGGGTGGAGGTGTTCCTGGTTTCAGCAGGGGGGTGCAGTTTGCTGTTGTGGTGCAGCTCCCCACAGTGGGTTTCCAGCAGAGGTTTAGACTCGTGCAGTTCCTCTCCTGGGCAAGTTTTCACACCATGGGTGATCTCCCAGAGCAAGCTCTCCGGGGGGCTGGCGTGGAGGAGCTCTGAAAACGAGGTTCTTGGTCAGGACGACTCGCGCCTCGAGCTGCTCTCCCAGCTGAAATTCCCCCTGGTGGAGGTGCCACCTCAGCCAACGCCCCTTCCCCTTGCAGGACGCTCGCTCCTCGGGCACAGCACCCACCCTGCCTGGTGCCAGGGCCAACACGGTGCTGGAGAGGGTGGAGGGTGCCCAGCAGCGCTGGAAGCGGCAGGTGCAGGAGCAGAGGAAGACCGTGTTCGACCGCCACAAGATGCTGAGATAGAGCTCAACCCACCAGGACACCGGGTCCCTCCCCTGCTCCAGACAGACAGCAAGTGACCCTTCAGGACGCCCGTGGTGTGTGAAAGCTCTGCCCCTTCTGATGTCCCCTCTCCACAGAGAGCTGCAGACCAAAACTCTGGTTTTGTCCCATTGCCCTTCACCCCTGTCACCCTTGCCTGGCCAAGCCCCACACTGGCCATTAGCCCCATGGCTCAGGGCTGCCCTGGCCCCTGGGCTGACAGGAGCAGAGGCTGCAGCCCCTGTGCTCAGCTGGACCTGCTGGGCACCACTTACTGGGACCACTCTCCATCAGCCCACCCTGCATCACAGCCTGGCCTCAGTGCAGAGCATTGGGAGATGGATGAGTCTTCCCTGGATAAAAATAATGGGAGAATTTGTACGTGGGGTAAGTTATGTGGTGCTCCCCCAGGATGAGGAAGCCTCCTCCAGTTTGCAGTGATGTGAACTGGGCGTCGTGGTGCAGAGGCAGGAGGAGGAGCAGGCTCCCTGCAGTGCTCTTACCCTGCTGTAACCAGTGGATTTAGAGTCTGCCCCGTTCACGCCAGCTTGTTTCTGTCTAGGTGAGCATCATGAAACTCATCAGCACGTCCACAAGTAGGAGACCAGCAGGTAAAAGGTTGATTTACATCCACAACTTTTCCTGCTTTAGCAGTGGGTGAAAGGACCCCGGGGAGAAATCCTTCCATCTGTACCTGTGTCAGTGACCCTCGAGGCTCTCCCAGTGTGGCCAGGAGCACTTGTGTCTAGAACTGGGGCAAAGGCTCTGCTGGAGCCCTGTAAACACTTGTCTTGGGGCCCTGGAGAGGGGACACTTGTGCAACTCCAAACGCTCCCAGAGCTCTGACTGTGCTGGGGCTGTGTGGAGAAGCTGGAGTGGTTCTGCAAGGCGTGTACTGATCCCGTGTCAGGAGGGTGCTGGAGTTTATCATGTAGCATCTCTATTAAATGCAGACAAAGATCTATTACACGGCTGGCTTTTTTCAGGGCAGAGTCCCATCGGGCCAGCTCTGGGGCTCCCAGCACTGCTCAGCTGCTCTCCAAGCTGCCTTCCCTCCCCAGCAACTCGATGCGAGACCTCCCGAGCGAGCTGTGGTGGCAGCACTGGGACGTGCCAGTGCCCCAGGGGGGGCCCGTGGGTCCCCTGGCACTGCATTGTGCCTCTCTGTGCTCTGAAGGAGACTCTCTTCCCTCAGGAGAGCAGGGCTGGAAACACCACCAAAAAGGATCTGTCCTGCTGGGCAGCAGTTGGGCACAAGCTGCTCTGAGCTGTGTCACGGGGAGGCCGAGCAGAGCGGAATCCCCGAGCGAGTGCTGCTGAGGGCCTGACTGGGAGAGGTGCTGGCCCAGGGCAGTGCCAGCAGCTTCTGATGGAGCTGCCCAGCAGGACCCAGCCCTCCAAGCTGATCCTGCCAGACAGACCTGGACAGAAGCGTTGGGGGGGCTGGGGGTACCTGTCACCCTTCAGCACCTCAGGCTAAAAAGTACCTGGAGCGTCACATTATACCGAGGTCCCTCTTTCTTCACCCATCCTTGTTCCATTCTGCTCACTCCTTGGACTTCTCTCCCCGTTTTAGAACACCCATATTCCCCCTCTGTCCCTCTGCCGGGAGTCCCTCATGGATTCAGGGTGTGCTCCCCGGGAACTGCAGCCCCCAAAAACCCATTTGAAGGGTCTGAAGGCCGGCAGCAGCTGGAGGAGCTGGGACAGGGCTGGTGCGACAGGTCCCTCTGGTGGCCGGTGCCCTCTCATTGGCACCGAGACATCAGGGGCAGGGTTCCTGCTCCCAGCACCCAAACCCTGCACCCCTCATCCTGGAGAGCGAGGGCTTTGGGAGAGCAGCACCCCCATAGCTTCCCCTGGCCCATCCTAGGAACGGCCTGAAAATGGGAGGGGAGAGGAAAATAGGTTGGAAATGAGGAGCTGACAGGTTAGAAAACTCAGATGGGGAAGAGCTGATGTGGAGAGGTTGCAAAGAAACACCACTGCCTGGTGGTTTTGTTAATTAGCTGATGAGCTTTGTCCTGTCCCAGGAAACGTTCCCTCTGCCCAGCCTGGTCCTCGCCAGGCTCTGCTCTCCCTGTCCCCTGCGTTGGGCACTGGGGACCTCCGCCCTGTCCCGGTCCCAGCTCAGCACCCACCACCCCCCCTCCGGGTGCCAGCAGGAGTCAACAATTTCATTCCTCATCCAAAAAGGGAGTGAGAAAAATGAAGGCAGCCCTCTGGAGACGCAGCCCTGCTGCTTGGGCAGGCTGACCCCACGCTCAGGCGCCCGCCGCCGTCCAGACGTCGACGCTGCGGATGATGAGCCACTCGCTCTGGTCCCGCGTCACCCGGATCCTCACGCACTCCACGGGGCCGGGCACGGCCTTCTCCAGCCCCCCCTGCTCGAAGGTGCCCCTCTGGAAGGTGCCCAC